GATCACTTCCTTACAGGTCAGTAGGAACTTTGAATTTAATCAAACTTGTGATCACTTCCTTACAGGTCAGTAGAAACGTGAATTTAATCAAACTTGTGATCACTTCCTCACAGGTCAGTAGGAAACTTTGAATTTAATCAAACTTGTGATCATTTCCTTAAAGATCAGTAGAAACTTGACACATTTTAACGTTTAAAGTATAATCGTAAAGTGTGATTAAAGATGAACTTAAGTTTGACCTTTGGTGTTATTTAGTCCAACATTATATCGCTTCCATTTAGACTAATAAGTGGATATCTATTCTCACCGAAAGTAGGCGACATCGTACATTTATGGGCATGAAAAAGAAGAAACATGTAAACTCTGAGTGTTTGTTTTTATTGGTGGAAGAAACCTGTAAACATTGAGTGTTTGTTTTTATTGGTGGAAGAAACTTGTAAATATTGAGTGTTTGTTTTTATTGGTGGAAGAAATCTGTAAACATTGACTGTTTGTTTTTATTGGTGGAAGAAACCTGTAAATATTGAGTGTTTGTTTTTATTGGTGGAAGAAACCTGTAAATATTGAGTGTTTGTTTTTATTGGTGGAAGAAACCTGTAAATATTGAGTAGTTGTTTTTATTGGTGGAAAAAACCTGTAAATATTGAGTGTTTGTTTTTATTGGTGGAAGAAAACAGAAGTAGTTAGGTTTCCTCCAGGTATCTATCTATATATATAGATCCTAATGATACGACTTTTATGAAGCTAAAATGTATGGGCACATTGATAACAATGCTAATGATAAATAACTGGTCTACATTGTAATTTCAATATAAACAGTTCACTTTAGAACCACCAGGGTACGCCAGTGCTATTCTTGGTTGCTTGATGATCAGTTTTCTACAATATCCAAGATATGTATATTAAGGTCACAAGGCATGAGTTTCAACTATTTCTAATAAAATCCTACCTGGAAGAAGCCATGTTTTTTAGGCTTAGTAATATACAACCCTAACTTTCTACAGTGTTTCATGCAGGATTTAACTTCCATGTTTTAACTGTTCATCACGAGTTATAGGATTTTTTTTTTACAAGTTACCAGAGTGAATGTGGTTACGTTCTTTTACTTGTTATACAAGATCACCCATACCTGACCCTCTTCAATAGCTTGTAATGTCTCTGCAGTATGAAGACTGACGAGCTCCTGTTCGCTCAAACCATGGTGACCACTGTTCCGGACACTGGGGTAGAGAGGGTCGCCCCGACGTCCCAGGTCGTACGTCCCGGCGAGTCCCGAGTGGATGTTGATTTGTAGATCATCCTCTCGTCGAGTCCCAAAAATATTGTGGGTTCGCTGCGGAGGGTGGAGTTGGTGATATTGCGGGGGGCCCGTTAGACTAGTTAGGGGGGTGTAAGTGTCAGCGTTGACGTGCGGGTGGTGGAAATCCACGTGTTGTTGTGGCAGGTTGTAAGGTGGGGGGAAATAAGGCGGTTGGAAATTTGCAGAGGGGGGTGTATGGGTGAAGAGAGGGGTGCCGTTAAAGGTGGCTGTGCTGGAAATTGTGACTAAACTTGTGGTTTGCCCTCCCACCAGATCTCTACGATCCTGTGAAAAGAAAATTGAAAAAACGGCTGAGACAAAAACATCACCAATAAAAACAAACACTCAATGTTTACAGGAAATAGTTGACATAGGTACTAACTACTTCTGTAAATAGTTGACATAGGTACTAACTACTTCTGTAAATAGTTGACATAGGTAATAATCACTTCTGTAAATAGTTGACATAGGTACTAACTACTTCTGTAAATAGTTGATATAGGTACTAACTACTTCTGTAAATAGTTGACATAGGTAATAATCACTTCTGTAAATAGTTGACATAGGTACTAACTACTTCTGTAAATAGTTGACATAGGTACTAACTACTTCTGTAAATAGTTGACATAGGTACTAACCACTTCTGTAAATAGTTGACATAGGTACTAACTACTTCTGTAAATAGTTGACATAGGTACTAACTACTTCTGTAAATAG